GTGTGTGTGTGTGTGTGTGTGTGTGTGTGTGTGTGTGTGTGTGTGTGTGTGTGTGTGTGTGGTGGCCCGCAGTGAACGAGGCTGTCGATTTATTGACTCTGTCACAGGCCAGCACACACACACACACACACACAAACACACCCACACACACACACTCCTGGAGACATGAGCCAGGTGTTTGTCACCGCTGCCAGAAACAGACTCCTGTTATTTATTCCTCTCTGTCTCTGTGGGACGTTGTTGTTGTCTCTGTCTTCTCTGTCTTCTCAGACTAATGAGGAGTCCAGAGTTTTTTCTAAATCTACGTTTAAAGAAACAACGTCTTCTTTTTAGGAATTATAAATTGGAGGTCAGTGCAACTTTTGTGAGGACAATTTTGTGAGGGAGGTTGATTTTTGAGAGGGATTTTTTTAATGAAAGAAGACATTTTAATATATGAAGACATTTCTGGAAAGTTGTTTGTGCAAAGTTATGAAAAGTGCTGATATTTTTCATAATGTGTGCACATTTTGAGAAAGTTAGGGCAATTTGGAAAAGTTTGGATGGAAAGCTGGGAACATTTGTACAAAGTAAGGACATTTTTTTTAACCTGAGGACATTTTAAGGAAGTGGGGACACTTAAAAAAAGTGACGCCATTTTTGGGGAATGTTGACATATTGCAGAAGCGAAGACATTTACAAAGTGAGGACATTTTTAAGAGGCTGCGGTTAAAATTTTGTAATGTGGATGTTTTTGGAGGAAATTCTAGAAAATGTGTATATTTTTGGAAGGTGAAAAGTAGGGACATTTCTGAAAGTGTGGCCAATTTAGGAAAGTGAGGACAGTTTTAGAAAATGAGGACCTTTTGAGATCAGGGACCAGGGATTCTTGTTATATGTTGGTGTTTAAAAATATCACTATAAAAGTGACTTTGGTTTAGGTAAGAGAGGTCTTTGTGAGGATGTTTTAAAAATTGAGGACTATTGTATGAGGACATTTTGGGACTTGGGGACATCTGGTTTTGGGGTTGAGTTGAGATTATTGTTCGTGACTGAAGAGAATATTTTGCCCCTGATGGTCTTAACAAGCTAATGTTGGTTAAGGTAGCGTATATGAGAAGCAGTATATAGACAGGAAGAGCCCTGTGGCATTAAAGACATGACCTCAGAGCAGGACACACACAACATCAACATAACAACACACACACACACAACATCAACATAACAACACACACAGAGACGGGAACAAAAGTCACTGTGGGCGGTCGACATTCGGCTTCTGTTAAGAGAGCAAGAGCCATGCGACAGTACAGTAAACACTCCCTCCTCCCCATCGCCATGGTGACCAACTGGACAGTCTGTGCATTCCTCTGTGTGTGTGTGTGGGTATAGGTTTTTGGGGAGTGGGGGGCAGATGGCACTGGCATTGTGTGAGAGCGGGCATCGTGCCCACATGGGTCAGCGTGGTGGTTGCTGTGGGCGACAGTGGCGGTCGCCCATGGAGACGAAGATGGAGGGAGGGAGTTGGCACCTCATCGTGCCAACCAACGCACTCACGCACCAAACACACACACACACACACACACACTAACACTATACTCACTATACAACAGACAGCCATGACCCGATCAATAAGTGTGTGTGTGTGTGTGTGTGTGTTTGTGTGTGTGTGTGTGTGTGTGTGTGCGTGTGTGTGTGTGTGTGTGTGTGTGCGTGTGTGTGTGTGTGTGTGTGTGTGCGTGTGTGTGTGTGTGTGTGTGTGTGCGTGTGTGTGTGTGTGTGTGTGTGTGCGTGTGTGTGTGTGTGTGTGTGTGTGTGTGTGTGGTTAGGTTTCATCTGAGGAGCAGACGTTGCAGTGTGTGTGTGTGTGTGTGTGTGTGTAGTCATCATCTGTCTCTATGTCCTATTTGCGCACAGTCCTCAAGATGAAGTTCACACACACATACACACACACACACACGCACACACACGCAGTAAAAACACCACGCCCACCCCATGACTCACCCACACTGTGTGAAGGTGTGTGTATATGTGTGCGTGTTTCTTTGTGTGTGTGTGAAGTGCTGACTCAGGACAAGACGGGTCTGGGCGAGAGACACTGAAACACTATCAGAGAGAGCGAGATTATAGTGGTAGAGCGAGGTTAGTATAAACTCAGCAGATTAAAGAAGATCCTGACCCAAACAATGTTCGTCTATAGAATAAAACAAATGTGATAATTATAATTTCCTGCACTCATTGTGGTCTGAAATAATATTAAATAATATTGAGTGCAGTGAATGATTCCCTACACCTGACTGAACATGGCCTGTCACCAGTCAAACCTCTCCTGAAGCATCTACCGAAATCTGTTTCTGAATCAGTTTCTGTGGCTTAATCTTTAATAACACAGAGTGCTCAGAAAAAAAACATACATCACCATATATGAGCTTTAAATGCATCAGTCTGTGCGTTTTTAATTTGTGAATAAAAAACCTGTGGGAGGAAACGCTGCATACGCAAGTCTTTTTTTTTTTTTTTTTTTTTATGATTGGCTGAGATGGAAAAGTTTGTGTATTGGTAAAAGCAAAATGAGACAAAGTGCAATGGAAACAGACTTGGAGAATAAATCATGGCATACATGAAGCATGTGACTTTACAGAAGAGGATTAGAACCACATGTGAAACATTTTTCTTTAAGAATTCTGACTTTAGTTTCAGAATTCTGAGTTAAAAAGTCAGAATTCTAAAAAAAAAAAAAAAAAGTTTCACATGTGGTCCTAATCCTCTTCTGTGTGACTTAAACATTCACTGTAGAGACAAAAAATAGAACCTGACAAAAACATCAAGCCTGTGCACAGCGATACCTCAGTTCCTTAAATGAATATATGAAACAAACATACGTGTCCTAATATGTGGACAACAGCAGTGGATGGATACATGTGTTAATTCACATTTTCAACAAACTTCTGTTAAGATATGAGCTACTCTCACTCGCTCTCTTCTTCTTCTCCTCTGTCTCTGTGTGATGAGTATCTACAGTCTGAATCACAGCTGTCAGCATGAGCCCGCTGTGTGGTAACATTACTCCACACACACACACACACACTAATATGTGGACAACAGCAGTGGATGGATACATGTGTTAATTCACATTTTCAACAAACTTCTGTTAAGATATGAGCTACTCTCACTCGCTCTCTTCTTCTTCTCCTCTGTCTCTGTGTGATGAGTATCTACAGTCTGAATCACAGCTGTCAGCATGAGCCCGCTGTGTGGTAACATTACTCCACACACACACACACACACACACACACACACACACACACAACACTACACACACACACACACACACACACACACACACACACACACACACACACTGTCTGGCCTGTGAGAGTTTCATCTTCTCTGAGTCTTCTCAGGACAGAGGGAGGAGCTGCAGTGCAGAGAGCGAGCAAGAAGGCGAGAGACATAGGGAAACACAGGGGGAGAGAGAGGGAGCGAGCGAGTGAGGTAGAAAAGTCCCAGCGTCAGCAAGTTGTATTGATTAAAAACTAACCTTCCAGTCTTCTCCTCTATCACTACTGCACACATACACACACACACACACACACGCACACACACAGCAATAGAATTACAACGAGTCAGGAGCAACTGAAGTCTGAGTGCAGAGAAACCCTGCAACACACACATACACACACACACACACACACACACAAAGAGAAACTATTTACCTTCATGTGTTTTATTTAAACTTCCACTTTACATTCAATATTCCAAAACACATTTTCTAAATTGCGTGTAAATTTTTTAAGAGCGTGTGCGTGTGAAGGTGTGTGCATGTTCACTTCAAATCAATACCTTTGTGTGTGTGTGTGTGTGTGTGTGTGTGTGTGTGTGTGTGTGTGTATGTGTGTGTGTGTGTGTGTGTGTGTGTGTGTGAAGAAGTGCAAAGCAGGACGGGAGGAGAAAGCAATTGAGTGGATGAATGTAAAGAAAGAAAAAGAGGAAGAGGAAGGAGGGGTGGGGGGGTTGGTATATGTGGGGGGGTGGGCGATGCGGTTGCCTTGACGATGGTAGTCACGTCCCGGGCCGTCTGGTTGTCCCTAGCAACCAGACATGATGTAAGGCGGGGATGAACTTGAACTCGGCGGGGCAGCGAGGAAGAAGAGGAAGAGCGGTGAGAGATTCATGAAACGTGAACGATGCACCTTTGGCGATCGATACCGGCCTATCAGAGATGGATTACACACACACACACACACACACACACACACACACACACACTCGCAGTTTGGTGATTGTGCAGGGAGAAAGTGTCATAAACTCCCATCTGAAGGCAGAAGAAACATTGTGCTGTTTGAGATCTCCTCAGGTCCGTCCCAAGCCAGAGATGGATCATAAAATCAGACATGTGAAGTGGTGATGGTGCCCCCTGCAGGTGGCAGTGTTCCCAACAGCCACCATATGAAAGTGTTTCACAAAACAAACTGATGATTTATCTTTTTTCTTAGAGCCTTAACAAAGTTAAAGTTTGTCCTGAGGATGGAACCAGAGAAAAGCTCATGTGTTCATTCAAATTGAACATGTTCATCCTCTGGGGAGCAGGAATAAAATCTGAAAAACATAATCCAACTCGTGAAGACACACACAGCTACACAGTAAAGTTAAACCTTGACTGAATGTCAGACGACTCAAAAAGTTAGTCATAGCAGTAAACGACACTTTTCTACTTTCCAGCCACAAACAACAACAACAATACAAGTCAAAGCTGCTTTTGATTTGTATGTTATAGAAGTGGAGGTTTTGGCCTCTTGTTGACCAGAGCAAACAGGAAGTGAACACCAGGTGAATATTTAACTCGCTCAGATGCATCTTTACCTTCAGAAAAAATTTACGTCCATTAACTTTGTAGGGAATCAGTAAGTTTCACGTTCAGTCTGAAAACCTCTGAGGAACATGAATATCCACAGTAAGGACCTGTGTTCAAATACTGTTGTGACTCTGAGGCAGGTAAATACAAATTCATCCAAATCAAATATTTGAACGGGTCTCTCTTGAATTCTGGTTTTGGACGTGTGCATTTGGAAAAAAAAGTAAATGGTCTAAATGGCTGGAATTAATTCATTTCTCATACAACGGAATATAGGTTAATTGCTGTGATTCTCCAGATGTTTCATGTTGCTAAGTTATTCCAGCTGTTCCACAAACTAAAGATGTTCTTACAGTCATTTCACAGTGTCTTTGAGGTGAACCTGACCTGGACCTGAGGTGAAGTAGACCATGTCTGGGTCTGGATGTGGGTCTGCAGTAACATTCCTCTCTTTCTCCACAGTGGTACCTGGGATAAGGACTCCAGAGGCCCCTCCATCCTCCACCCACCTGTACGACAGATCGCTGCAGCCTCCTCCTCAACATTTCACCTTTGATGCCAGCTGCAACAGAGAGCCCTGTCTTGCCCCACCCTTACAGCCCTCCCATTCCCCTCTGCGCCTGACTCCGCTCCCACCAGCGCCATACAGAGACTCAGCAGCATCAGCATGGCTACAGCGGATCAAACGCACCCCGACCCTGGTGTTAAACACCCACTCTGTAAACTCTATGTCAAAGACTTCCCTGTAGACATATGGTTCATATGTCAGTGTCCATATTTAGTGCCAGACCCCCCCTCCTCTCTTCCCCAACTCCCCAGAAACCAGACCAGGCTGAAAAATTAGTGGGGGGACTGAGCCTTCAATTTTGGGAACGCTGCAGGACTGAATTACAGAGCTTCCCTTCTGGAGAAACCACATACACACTCTCCCATCATCCTCTGCAGTGTGTGCATCCAGTGGACTTGCAGGGGTACAATGTCCTCTCCACTTCCACCACGCGACCCCCCCCATCCCGATGGATTCCGATGGCTTGGTCGGATTGGTTGTTGGGACAGGACAGGATGTGCTGTGGTTGGAGGGAGGGAGGAGGTGTTACCTGGCTCAGATACCACCAGCTAATACCCCCGCCCCCTCCCCACACCTGAGCCCTCACACACCTCCTGGGATGGACTCCACCCCCACTTGACCCCACCCCCTGGTTGGTTGCAGGTCAGGGAGGGAGGAAGCCGACAAAGCTCTTTCCAAGGACATAGACCAGTGCTTAATGGAAAGACGTGATCTGACGGGGAGGTGGTGCGGGTGCAAACAGACGCCCTTCCTGTTTCACAGTAATAACATGAACTACACGTGGAGGGATGGGGGTGATGATGGGGGAGGTCGGGTGGAGGGGGGTTATAAACGTGGGGAAGCAGGGGTTTGTTGATGTGTTGCGACCAGACACTGGTGGATCAAGCTCGTTTATCTGGGAGGCTTTGGCTTCATGGCTCATTGATTTTTCTCTCTTAGCCGTCATTTCAGCTGGTCCCCTCCTCCTCCTCTTTCCATCCACCAGTCTGGGTGAAGCTACAGCATGTTGAGGGTGGGCAGAAAACTCTGGTGTCCGAAACGAAGCAGGCAGACAGGAGAGAGATGAGTGACTAAAACTTTACCAGTGGAATATTGATCATGAGGAAAGTGCAATTTTGTTGGCTAGCTGTTGGATAGTTAAATATCTTTGTAAGATAGCTCGTTGAAAACAGTTGTTGAAAAGTATATATAAATATATATTTTTCTTCCTAGTCCGCTCACACCTCTGGGACTCTAAAATATTGGGGTACAAAAGACAACAACACAGCGTTGAACTAGAAACCATAGCCTTGTGAGAAATAAGGGGAGCTGTATTCACTTTTATTGTTTATTATTTGTTGTTTGTTCATCTTGAAAAGCTGTTAGCATGGTAGAACAAGAATCCCTTTAAGAAATATCATCAGTTTAAACAATCATTTTTTAAAGCTTTTCTTGCAGCTTAAGTCTGCCTTTCATTTTGTTTAAGAGTAAAAAAAACGCAAAGCGATTAACTTATTTTAATGAGCACATCGTTTTACTTTAAAAAAAGAAAAGAAAAGCAATTTGAATTTCTCATGAGGCAAAATCATGAGAAAATATAACGAGTGAATTTAAGCTTAAAAGTAATCATGTTTTCTCCGGTTTCTGTTGGCGAGATAATCTTTAACGGGTGCCACCCGGTAACGGGCTGCCCAATGATTGGGCGGGTCTCCTAGAGCTCCTGTCCAATCAAAAGCACTTATTCCTGCAGTTGGCCAATGGCCCGCGAGTGTGTAATCAGGGGGTGAGGTTTAGCGATAAAGAGGCAGAGCAGAGGGTAACTCTCTGGGAGCTTTCGTCCACAAATAGACAAGACAGCCGAGCGCTTCACATGCAACTTACCATTTTGTTGAACTTCAGTTTTGTTTTTCCTTTCCTATACTATATATATAAATATATATATACACACACACACACACACACACGCACGCACACAAACACACTCACACACACACACATACACTCTTACGACCATCCAGCGTCGAACAAAAGTGAATTTAAGTGAAAAATTTACAAAAAAAGAACAAAAAAATCTGCATGTTTTAGTGTTAGTGACAAATTTTTCCATAGATGATGTAGTTAGTGAGATAAAGACACTATATTGTAAACCCAACATCAGGCACTTGCCAGCAGCCGTCTATTAGTTTGGCCCCGTCAAGGCCTTTTCTATCTCTCTCCTTCACAAACAACCAGCTCTCTTCGCTTCTCGGCATTTCTCCATTCTTTTTATTTCTTATTCCTTCCCTTCCTGCTTCCTTGCTTTTTCCTTCATCAACAGATCAATTATGCTTTTCAGTTCCACAACGCTCTCTTTCATCCGTACATTATCAAATTGCACGAAAACAATTGTTCCTCATCAATGTGCCTTGAGCTACAGTCCAGTCCTGAGGGTGCACAAGATCCAATGTGGAGAGTTGTTTTATTGTTTTTTTCTTCCACCCTCCACACCTGAGATTTTGTAGGTAACTGGAGCAATTAATGTCAAAGCGTTAAAGCTGAAGAGGAACGCTGTGATTTCCAGAATTACTCGCTGGTAAACTCTTAGTATAAAAAGGTCTGAGGTCTGCACTGCACTGCTTTCTGCCCCCATTCCCCCCACCTACCTGCAGTGCTGAGCAGAGACCTCACAGGTAAAATCCACACCAGCTACAATCAGGTCAATCATCTCCAGATCTCTGCTAACTAGTGGCAACACGCTGAATTTTTGTGAAATGAGCATAAAGTCTGAGGTTTGGGTCAAATTTTCTAAGTTCAGTTTAGCTGAAAGGTAACAGATATAAGTTAGCTAACGGTTTAGTGGCATACACACTTTGAATCAGGTTAGCTCCCGTTAGGTTTGGTTCAGCTTTGCTAAGTGTTCATTTTAGCTCCTAAGAAAATTTTGGTTCAAGTTAGTTAATAGTTCAATTTAAGAGCAAAAATGTACTGATTTGAGTTAGCTAGCAATTCGGTTGCTAAAACATTTAAAATCAGGTGAGCTAACTGCTATCAGTTTATCTAATAGTTTGGTTTACTACGTAATAGTTAAGTTTAGCAGATAAACTATTTAGTTCCAGTTAGCTAACAAGCTATTTTAACTGCTAAAAATGTTTGGTTCAAATAAGCAAAATTCAGTTTAGCCAAAAAGTGACTGATTCAAGTTAGCTAATAGTTTAGTGGTTAAACACTTTGAATCAGGTTAGTTAACGTTTGGTTAGGTTACGTTAAGTTTGGGTTACCTTTTGAAAACTGCATCCTTTCAGTTTATTATAGCATTTTTTTAATTAACTAGCTCTAGTTTTAGTAGCTAAAACACTTTTAATGAGGTTAGCTAACTGTTGAGTTTAGCGGCTAAAACAGTTAAGTTCAATTTATCTAAGAGTTCAGTTTATTCCCTAGTTCTCAAGAGTTCAGTTTACCAGCTAAAACAGTTTGAATGAGATTAGGTAGAGTTCAGTCCCCAACAGTAAAGTTTAGTAGTTAAAATAGTTCAGCTAGCTAGCAGCTAAGTTTAGTGTCTAAGACACTTTGAATCAGTGAACTAACTGTTGAGTTTAGCAGCTGAAACAGTTTAGTTCAGTTTTCAGTTTCAGTTTATTCCCCAGTCTATAACAGTGTAGTTCAGTAGTTAAAACAGTTTGGATGACAACGTTTATTGTATGACATGTTTATTTTAGCATCTAAAGGTATTTGCTTCAGCCTAGCTAACACAGGCTATGTTGTTCCCTGCCCCCTAACAGTCCACTTTAAAACTTAGAAAAAAACCTAACTATACATAATAAGTGTGGTGGTGATTAGATAAAAAAAAAAATTTTTTAAAAACAACTGTTATTCTTTATACCATACAGTAGGAAAAATGTGTTTTTCAGAAGATATGTACACAGTGAAGTTGATGTCTGTGAGGATAGAGTGATACACTAAAAACACACCTTTCTGTCAAGGTGCGTTCCAATCACCTAGTAGTTCCCTGCGAAGTGGACTGCACAGGGTATACAGCCATGTTAAGTAAGATTCCAAACCGTAGGGAGCAAAAGGTGCTCAGTTCAAAGGGACCTATGAACTGAGCAGGGAATAACTGAACAACCATTCATCAATTCGCCAGAAGTTGACAAGATTACCCATCAGTCATTGCGCCTCGCAGGTGCGCCAAAAACGACAATGGACAACATCTTGTAAATCAATCAAATCACATTTATTCCCAAGTTACATACAATTAAATATAACAGGTTTTGTAATGGTATCAGTTTTTGATCAATATATATTCAATATTCAATATTTTATTTCAGTAGTGTAAAATGTCCACGGTAGCAGCAAAACGTATCCGAGGTGTTTACGTTACCAGGGTGACGCATGGAGGAAGGAGGATGTCTGCGTTTATGACATTGCAAGGTGCTCCGAATGAAGTAATTTTGTTGAGGGAAGTTCCCTTAACTGATATTCCCTGAGCAGGGAGCAAGGAGCACTGTTTATGTACACTATGGATTGGAACGCAACCTCACTCTTTGTGTTGTCGGCAGTTGAAGACATTGTGCTCATTTGACTAAATTTCGTGATGCCAGTATCTTGATGGAGCAGACGGAGCTTATAAGTGCTCACTACCTGGTAGATTGGTTCAGTTGAGTGTGTTTACCCCCCACCCCTCCCCTCCATCCTGTCCTTTGTTTGGTGGGGTGACTTTTACATCTGTTGCTGTAATCTCCGAACAGAAAAACCTTTTCTTTTTAAGTCCACCTGTTTTGATTTTTGGTTTGTTTGTTCTTCTACTTTTGTTCCCACATATGAATAATGAAAACTTTAAATATGCAATACCTGCTTGCACTCACTTAGACTTATTTTGTCTCATATTGTTTATTTAGTCTGGTTTTTCTTTCTATTTACTTTCAACCAAAGTTAGCATGCACATGACTGGCGTTGTGCTCCGTGGCCCTAAAAATAAATAGTGAAGCCAGCCCTGTAGTGATGCTCCAGCCAAGCTGAGCCGCTCAGGGATTCCTTCTTTCTTCCCTTCTTTCCTTCCTTCCTTCCTGTTTCGATAATCTACCAGGCGGCCACAATACGACATTCGGGTCTCTCTTTCCTAAAATTTAAAAATTTCATTTCTTTGGTCACAAGCAAGCCTTAAACAAGTCCAACTTCTTCTCCATCGCACAGAACAGTCAATCAAAAACATTTCTGATGATGTCCAGCATTTTAACTGTACCCCGCCCTGCTCCGCAGAGGTTCTAGTGAATAAATCATTTACCCGTTCTGTGTTCGGTCCATCTATCAAAGTTAACAGACAGTGACGTGACGCCGTCGGCTGTGATGGTTTAGTAGTTCCACTTGTGTGGGTTGTGTGTTTCCTCTTAGTGTGACATGTTTGTCTCTGTTCTTGCCTACCCTTTAGCCATGAGTTGGGCATTACTTCCTTAATTATCTGCACTAAATATGAAATAAATGACAATAGTGAAAAAGTATGTAATAAAAAAATACAGCTTCCAGGGCTTAAAAAGAGCGAAGGGAATAAAAAAAAAAAAAATTGCACGGACATTTTTTTTTAAGTGTCACAAAAACCTTGTGAAACAGCCTAGCATCTAATCAGCGACTTTTGGCTGTGTGTGTAAGATAACGACAAAATTGCACCCTTTTTAAAGAAAGAAAAAATGAAAAAGAATATAAAAGCAATAGTTTGGGCAGTGTGTTGTTTTGTTCTTGTGTTATGTGTGTAATTTAGTTCTGGTACAGCAGCGAAGAGACGCAGAGAAGAGTTAGCTCTTAACGGACGGGAGGGCAGAGCAGCAG